TTTTTCTAAACAAAGAATGGAATGAATTGGTATTTGTTATTCTGATGCAAAAGTTCCCAGCTTCTTTTAATCAGATATTTTATTTATAACAATTCATAGCATCATTATTCAGTTACCAAATAATATTGGTGTTCTATGATTTTAAGTAAATTGTTTATTGTAAAAAAAAAAAAAAAAAAAAAAATTCCAATTTTGTTTTGAGAAATTCAGGAAATGTTTAGTGTCAACTTGGAATTTCTGACTAGATAAGGAGTGTTGCATGGAGTGAAACATAATCTGAAAATGACAGATCTGGAGAATATGGCATATGCAGAAGAACTTCCCATGCCACCTCCATTACTTTATTATTGCACAGTATTTACAATTTGAGTATCATCATCATGCATCAATTTTCCTGTTTAGATTTTAAAGAACTTATGTGTCATTTAATGATCTCATTGACTAGCAGTCAAAATCTGTCCATGTTATAGTGACAATTCTTAAAGAATTTACCATTAAACACACAGACAAGACTGTTTTCCATCTAGTGAATTCCATTTAGAAAGTGATGTAGAAAATTGTCTTGAATCTGAACAAGATTTTCTTTTGTTTTTGATTTTAATATATTCATTTTTCATTGCCAATGTCTATCTTGTCCAAAAAATAACTTTTTGGTAAACTTGGACCTTTGTACCTGAAAAAAAAAAGTGGAGTGTCAAAAGAATGGTTTTTCCCATGACACTGCTTTTATTTTAATTTCACTCTACAGCAATGTTTATTATTTTAAAAAGTGATGATTAGAATTTTAATAAAATCTAAACATATGATGAAAGTGAATTTATATATTGTTTTCATTCTTGATAATTTGCAACAAAAATATTAAACATTTATTTATTAGATTGTTTATTTACAAGAATAATTTTATATTTACATTCTAAAGACTAAGGCAATTAAAATTAATGCAATGAAATATTTATCATTTACCAATTTATAAAGAAATATGAAACCATTTTATATTGATAAATTTATAAACATTTACTAAATTATTAAAATATGTGAACCAACTATAAGGAAATATTCATTTACTATTTTATAAAGTTAGAATTGATTGGCAATTAGCCAATGGAAATGTTGACAAAACATTAGCAATTAGCTAATGTTTTGCTAACCATTCCAATAAACAATCTAATAAATAGTGTTTATTATTTTTGTTAATTCTCAAGAAAAAAATGTATAAGTTTACTTTAATAGGTTTTATTACAATTCTAATTATTGCTTTTTAAAACAACAAACATTACCGAGGAGTGAAGGTAGTTAAAATAATAGCAGTGTCAAGGGAAAAACCATCCTTTTGACACTCCATTTTTATTTCATTTCAGGTATAAAGATCCAAGTTTGCTGACTTTTTTTTCTGTCAAACACAAAGAAAAAGACAAGATTTTAAATGCTGCTTGATGTTTGTTTCTCTAAGTTCATCTCATTTTCATAGATTCAGAATTTTACTTTTAAATAATTTAATGCAGTTGATTGATTGTATAAAAAAAATAAATAACACCTCTAAGATTTCTCTAACATAGTGCAAAAGATGGTGCTGGGTCATATTTTAACATCAGCCTAATGGAAACATAAAAATGTAAATGACTTTCGATATGACCAAAGTGTGTATTTAGTTACCAGAACATTTATCAGGCTATGCACTTTATATTTATCAGGCTATGCACTTTATATTTATCAGGCTATGCACTTTATATTTATCAGGCTATGCACTTTATATTTATCAGGCTATGCACTTTATATTTATCAGGCTATGCACTTTATATTTATCAGGCTATGCACTTTATATAATGTCAATAAATAAGATAAGATTCTGGTAGGAATAGTAACTTTAGAAATAGGTAATGGTTTATTCATGAATAAAGTATGTATATTTATTTGTATGTTGTACAAACCCAATAAGATGAAAACCTTGAATTAACATTTATTCTACCATCTAAGAAACTTTTCGAGTTGACCCCAAATGATCTACTCACTCAGGAAATTATTTATTTATTTTTTATTTTTTTTTGAGGGTGTAGGGTAAAACTTTCAACACTTAATCTGATTGGTCCGAAAAGTTATTTACTGCACTCTTTGGTGAATTACAGCATTATCTGTGAAAACCTAAGAAGCATGGAATGATCAGTCTTAAGCTTAGAGGTATTCAAAAGCTATTCAGAATTGTTTAACATTGCCCAGAATAGCAATTTCTCCATCAAACCAGCTTTGCTTCTAATGGGATTCAAAGAAAGAACAATTGACTAGACAGAAAATAAGCATTATCCAGAAGATAAAAAGGTCAAATCATTCTGTCAGCAGCTCAAGAAGCACAAAGATACTTTGAATCAATGATACCAGCAAAATATTGAGCTTTCACTTCTCTTTAACTCAAAAAACTACTGCGTAGATTTATATGGAATTTTCTATGCAGCTTTCCTCCAACAAGATTGATTGAAATCAAGTGCTTTTATTGATGTAATCTCTCTTTCCAGATTGGTGAGATCCTATATGATCAATAAAGTGTATCTTAAAAAAAGTAGTTTAACAAGAGCAATCATTGTTCTGAGTTTTTAATACTGAGTAGGCACCTATGAGGAGACTCTTGAGTCTCCTAGAATAATTACCTAATCCCTGTTATAAACATCTGCTCAGGCACATTTCTTTCTTCAACACTCGCAGATCCAACTTGTGGTTTATACTGTAATTATGCTGTTCAGACATCAGTTATGAGAGTGCATAATTTGGCCTTATCAAAGACCTAGCTATCACTACAGACACCATTTACCAATGCTGCAGTTCTACATCATTTAGAAATTGCTGCCAATGATGTTGGACTCTATATGAATGCCTCTAAAACTGAATTTATAAGCTTCAACCAGCCAAGCTCAATATCAAATGTCTTGGCTGAATCAATAAAATCTGTCTAATCTTTTATATACCTAAGAAGCAAAATAAATTCTACTGAAAAGAATGTGAAACTCCATATAGCTAAAGCCGGGGCTGCCTTGAATAAAATGGATGTAATCTGGAAATCTGATCTACCAGACAACCTCAAATGATGATTCTTTTCAAGCCACTGTAGAGGCAGTGTTAATGTATGGTGCCACTTCTTGGACATTAACTAAAACAGTGTCTAAGCTTGATTGAACCTACACTTTGATGCTGAGAGTTATACTTAACATCTCCTGAAGACAATATCCAACTAAATCACAGCTCTATGAACCCATCCCCAATATTTCTACAATCTTATGTGAATGCAGAATATGCTTTGCAGGACACTGCTGACAAGCAAAACAAGAACTTGTGAGTGATCTACTGTTTTGAACACCTAGCCATGGAGCAACCACCTACATTGACCAGCTATGTTCTGACACAGAATGCCAACTTTGATACAGGACCATGATGGTTGGCGTGATAGACTCATGAATGTTCATGCTTATTTGACCAAATAAATAATAGTTGAACTAGCAAGCTAAACACAAAAATCATGATGACTTGTGACTTCATGCTAGCACAACCATTGAAGGCTGGCTTCAACTCACAGGAATGTTTTTAGGCATTTCTCAATGTTGCTTCATAATGGGGTTGTCTCTCCAGACTGATATCAAGAAGTGACCTCTCTGACAATTTGACAACAGTGAGGTTCAGACCCTGGCCTTATGGTTAAAATACTAATATTGTAACCACTTTGTCATGTACTCTGTATGAGTAATTATGATAAGAAAAAATAGCCTTATTCAGTGGTTAAAAGCTTGTCTTATAAACCAATATTACTAAGGAGTTTATCATCATTTGTGGCTATGTGGTATTCTAAGATAAGTTTATTAAAGGGTGCACTTGACTCTGGACCAATGGTTAAAAAGCTAGTGTCATGGATTATTACACTATGGTGATGGTAGTAATATTAGTAACAACTTTGTACTAATCTAAGCTTAGAAAATATCACTTGGATGGCCTTGTCATCGAGATATATTTATTGTATATTTCCCTATTGATGACATAGGATGGCATTCAAGCCCAGGTCAAAGACAATGTTTTAAATACTGATTTTTAAGACAGGCTCTACCCACTTGGGAAATTGGAACCACACAATCCTCCTTGCCTTACAATTTGATCTAAGCTTAGTTACAAGACCAGCTACAGAAGGTAGTGAAGGCGAGTGAGAAGGGACTAAGCATAAACTATAAGACAAAATGCATGGTCATCAGTAAAAGGATGAGACTGAAACGTGATTTACAGGACACTAAAATCAATCAGGTGCAGAAATTTAAATATCTGGAAAGTGTTCTGATGAGTAGGTAAGTGTGACACTGAGATCTGAAGACTTATTGGGATGTCCAAAGACACATTCCAAAAGCTAGGCAGAGCATTATGAGACAGGAGGATTTTGTTGGTAACAAAGAAAGAGTACTGAACTGCTACGTGACATCTGTCCTCCTTTAAGACAGCGAATGTTGGACAGTCTCCTTAAAGATGAAGAAGAGATTCTAGGCAACGGAGGTATGATTCTACAGAAGTATATCATGCACTGAGCATGTGAGCAGTGATATGGTTTTGAAGAAGATGCAAACAAGGAAGAAGCTTATACTTATCAGGAAGCGGCAGCTGAAATTTCTGGTACACTTAATGAGAATGGAGTGCTTGGATAATCTGATACTCACAGGGTGAATAAAGGGAAAGAGAGACAAGAGAAAGCAATGTATAGCATACCTAGTGGGCTTAAGCAAGTTGATGACGGAATAGGATCTGGGGGAAGTAGCAAAGGGACAAAACTTATTGAGAGCTATAAGTGATGGGGGGACTCTGCATATAAAAGAAGAAACAACTTGAGTGTCTCACCATGGAGCAATGATTAGCAAACTAATTCCAAAAAGACTATTTTTACAGAATGCAGTCTTTACTGATGTCCTTTCTAAACTGACTAAATTACAATTTTTTTTTTTTTTTTACTCATGAACTGAAAATAGCCTTTTATTTCTATTGGCTTATGGCCATATCATGTTGAAACATTGGTTCCTGTGTGATCACCAAAGTTAAGCAACATCAAGCCTGGTCAGTACCTCGATGAGTGACTGCTTGGGAATACCAGGTGTTCTAAGCTTGGATGTCCAGGTTTTGTTTGTTTTGTTTTACAGCATATCAAACACAATGGGTTATTTAATGCTGACAAGATTTTTATTGCTGGTAATAATTTTTTTCCTTTTAAAAAATTCATTGCTGGTTTTTGTTTTATGGCATTTCAACCACAATGAGTTATTTAAAGTCGACAAGATTTTTATTGCTGTTAATATTTTTCAAAAATGTATTGCTGGTAATAATTTTTTCTTCAAAAATTTATTTGCTAGTGTTTTGACCTCAAGTTTGAGGTTAACTATTTATCCATAGCTGGGACTCTAACAGGTGCTACTACCCCAGGTCAGGATGGATCTGGGAAGACCAGTAATTAAGAGGTGGTTCCATGCTCAAAGCCTTCTGATCAGAGGCCTTGATGTTGGATGTAATTTATCATCTTACTCAGTACATGGATGTAGTTTATCATCATACCAAGGATGTGGATGTTCAGGTGGTGTAATGGGTAATTGTTAATTGGAGTTCCAATTCAAGTCAAGTTTGTTAGATTCACTTATGTGCAAATACCCTTGGGAAAGGTATGAATCTACTTCTTCACCCCCAGCTATGGGTTAATTAGTAAGAATTGTATCACTAAATTATTATCTCCTAAAAGAATTCTTACAATGTAAAAATATTTTCTGGCTTTAAATAACATGTAAAAGCATAAGCTGTAAAAACAAACTATTTCTAGATTATGGTCATAGACTGTTGTACATGAGACTGGTAGTGTGAAAGAACTTAGAAGAAATGGCAAATATTCAGTTCTTATATTATTTCCCGTTTTTTTTTTTTTTTTTTTTCAAGGTAAGCAGAATAAAGATGATGTAGAAAAAGTGTAGAAAAGATGGTAGGGAGGTGTACTACACCCACCATCACACAAATCCATTCATCCCAAATTTTCAAATACTAATTAATGCTAAGTAAATTTTTTTCTTTTTTTTTTTTTTTTTTTTTTTTTTATTACATAGAGGGTCAGATAATTTAGGATCTCTTGTTATAATTGTCATTTTTTTTTAAACACCAGTAAAGTCTTGTGACTTTCACTGGAGATCATGTGACAGCAAGTAACCTTCCTTTCTTGTTATTTATTTACTTATAAAGATCTTAAATCAGTTAACAATATGTAGGGGAGGGTGTATTGATATAACTAAGAACATATCTAATGAGTGATTTTTTTTTTTTTTTTTTTTTTTTTACACTTTTAAAATGAATCTCCCTTAAAAAACTTGTCTACATTTGATAAAAATGAAAAATAATTAGAATTATTTTTTATATTATTATAAATAAAAATGAAGCAATAATTATAATTCAATAATTAAAGTTAATATTGTTTGAATTTTCACATTAGGTTGTATCTAATGGTTGTGGCTGATGGGTGGTTGTCAAAATGTCTGAATGGTCCCAATTTTTTAATTTTTAATTCTTCTTGTCTTTTTGCAGAGACTGCTCTAAGTGTTTTAATAACTATGGTTACAACTCTCACCATCATATTCCATTATTTTTTTCTCCATTTTCAAGCAACAGTCAGACACCTTCCCAGACTTCCAGTCTTTTACAATTTGACTCTGTAATTTCTCTAATTTTTATTCTTTTCATCTCTGATGAAAATCGCAACTGAGGTTTTGAAAACTATAAACAAAATACACAGTCGAAAATAGATTGTACTGGAAACACATAATATTCATGATATTTGTAGCCATAATTCTGTTCGACTTCATAAATTTTTTCCTCCTGAAATGAAGCAAATGGTTCATTAAACAATAAATAAAAAAAAAAAAAAAAAAAAAACTTACCTCCTGTCTCACATGTTGAGTGCTTGAGTTCATGCCTGTTTCTATGTCAGGTAATTTACTAATTCTCTCTAGATTTGTCTTGTCTTTTTTTTTTTTTTATCATTTCCTTACCTTGTATTTTTTTCCTTTTGCTTTATTGTTCACTGTTTTTTTCTTTACCTTTTTCTTCGTTTCCATTTTGCCTTTCTTTTTACTCTTCTCTTTCTCTCTCAAACTTTTTCTTTGTGTTTCTCTTTTTCTCTCTTTTTACCTTTTTCTAGTCTATCTTGTTTTATATTTTTTCTTTAGTTTTCCTCCTTTTATTTCCTATTTTCATGTTTTTTTTTCTTCTACATCAGTTATCCTTGTCTTTATTCTGATCTTTTTAATTCTTTTTTTCTCATTGCTTTCTTACCTCATTTTTCTTTTCTTTTCCTTCTTTTCCTGTATCCCCTTTTAGTTTCTTTTTCTCCTTTTCTCTTATTCCTCTTTTCTTACATTCCCTTTTTTTTCTCTTTTGTCTTCTCTTCTTCCTCTTTGCACTTTTCCTTTTTACCTGTCAATAAGGCTATTCATCTGCAGTAATGTGTCTATGGCAAAG